TAGCGAATCATTTAGTACACTATAAACAGTAAAGAGCCAGGAAAGATCCTTGTGGCATACCACTTTAAACATATGCCCTCTCAGATTACTTTTCGTCAACAAGAACTCTTTGTAGATTTCATTTGAAATTATAGGCCTCTGACTTTAAAACTAACTCTGAATAAAAAACTTTATCAAAGGCTTTAGCAAAATCCTGATAACTTATAATTGCGTAAAGGCCACAGTTCCGTGCCTATCGTGTAATGTTGGTTGTGTTTAATAAATTTGTAACACATGGTTTTTGTTTTACAAATCCATATTGATGCTAATCCAGTGGCACAATCATTGAGAAGATATGTCATATGGGTCTATTGATTTGCATTTCTTAAAATTACTTAACTTTTCAAAAATCCGCAAACTCATAAAGGTCGAATCGGTTAATCTTGCATACGTGATCAGTCCTGTTTTTGAATGTAAACTTGTTTCTGTTGTCTTTTTAAAAAAAAAGAGACTCAAATTGATTATTAAGACATTCTGCTTTTTCAAACAACTTTGTTAACTCTATGCTGCTTTTTATATAGTTATATACCGCATTTGGATTAAATTTCGAAAATGATGAAAAGCTCTGAATCAAGAACTGATTCGTAGCTTTTTTGTGTAACAAGTATTTTTTTTTATTAGCTTGCAAGTTGCTTTGTAGATTCTAGAAAGATGAGTAATTCTAGAAATTGGTAAGCTGCTTATCTGTTTAGACTAACAGTTAAATTTCTTTTTTGTTAGAATTTTAATCTCTGTCGTAAATCATTTTTATTTTGATCTCTGTTTTTGAGTTGATTTAGCTTGATTTGTTATATATTTAGTTAATCCTTCTTTTGTATCGAAGCACAGTGGGGTATTTGATTGATTTAGAAGGCTAAAAATATTTAATAATCTTTGATTGAAAAAGTTTAACTTTTTTTAGGAAAAGCTGGTAGAGAAGCCAAATAAAAAGAGAAAACAAAAGATTATAAAAGTGTTTAAGGATGATAGACCCCCCCCCCGCCTCCCGACGCAATTTTTTTTTTTTTTTTTTTACACTTTACTATAACATATAGATAATATTAACCTATTTTATGTGGTTCTTATCATGATATAAACCTATTATATATGGTGGATATCTTTTCTTCCTCAAACTTTCACTCGGAATCGATAGTCAAAACATCGCGATTTGTGTTACCTTAATGTCTTCGGAAGTACTTGCAGTTATGAACTCTTAAATGGAAAATATTAAGAAAAAAATCTTTTTAGCTATTTATATTATAACTCAAAATAACTGCTGTTAAAAGGATGATGGCGAAAGCTAAAGTTCTTCATCAGAAGATATCTCTGATTGCTCTGAAGACATCTCTGATTGCTGATTTAAATATTTCTCCTCTGTGTCAACAATATTAGTAAAATTAGAAAGTTCAGCTGAAAGTAGCATCTCCAAGGTTTCTTTTAAGATTGGTTTATTTTTTTTTTTTTTTTTTTGGTAATTTTCCTCATGCCAGTTAAAATAAGATCTGAGCTAATTAGTAATCTATTAAGAACGCCAAGGTTGCAAGACTCTCTAGAAAACTTTTTAGCATTTTTTTGACGGTGAAGACAAAAGTATTTATTTCGTGCTTCAATTGCTTCTTTAAATAGCTGACCAATAGGATGCAAAGCATGTTCTATTACAATAAAATCATGAATGAGGATTTTATGCATTGTAGGGGTCATCGGATACCATTAGTATAATTGGACATATGATCCGCAGTTTTTACAGTATATCTTCTAAATTTTTCGACATCTATTTTATGTTTACTAGATATTGTTTCTAATATTACTTTAACTCGATATATTTGGTTATAATTTATAAAAAATATTTCAGTTGCCAACTCTGGGTCTTCAAAAAGTTGTGGGCTAGTGTTGCCATCATTTGAGTTACTAAATCCAGGCTTAGATACGTCTACAATTAAACCTATTTTTTTTCTAAAATTTGATTGTATTTCTATTTTTTTTTTGTTTGACAATTAATTTTTTATTTTTTGATGTCGCTTGCCATTTTTTAATAGGCCATTTATAAGATAGATGCAATAAATTTTCAAATATTCGGATCCTGGCATGCAAAATTGATAACCCAAACTTCAGTTTATCTGGTTTGACATCTTTTTCAATAGCCAAGTTATTAAAATCTTTTGATGTTGCACCACAAATATAGCATTTCATAGTTGAAGCTGTATTAGTGGCTGCGTTACACATCTTAGCATCAACCATAGTAAGCATCATATTATGTTTAACTTCTTAAGTTTTATCTCTTCATTTGTTATATCATTAGATTCTTTGACAAATCTAATTCTTATAGGGCGACAATAACTTGGCGAAGAAGTAGTTGGATTTTGCCAGATCAATCTGTTGTTTTTAGTACAAGTTAATTGAAGCGGTACAAAAGAGCTCTAAAATATACTTGCATCAGAATCGGCATCATTCAGAAATATCTGTTTATATTGATTTTGCTGTGATCCGTCACAACCCCATTTACAATTTAATATTAATGAACATCTTTCTTTTTTGTTTAAATTTTGTATCACTTTTTCTAAATAGATGACCAATCGTATAACGGTATGGTCCATTAAATCTTGTAATTTGACAGCATTACAAGTTTCAGTGACATAATAAGATTCCTTATTTGGATAAAATCTACTTTTGCCTTTTGCAGGGTACTATAGCAAGGATATAATGTTTTACAAGAACTTCTAACAATTTCATATTATCTTCCGAAAAGACCAGCTTCTACAAACATAGCTAGTGCACTTAATACCGATAGTTGTGACTTTTTTTCCTGTAAAACGCTAGAGTATGCTTTCTTATACATTCTTGCCCGCTTTGCGGAGTGGATAATGTCCTTTAAAGATTTTAAAGCAGTTCTTTTTCCTGTAACACCTAATTCCACCTGAGCAGCATAAATCAACGTTTTTGAATTTGTGGTAGAACAAACAGAAAACACGCAAAGTTTTTGTGTTTTCTTTTTTTCTACTTTTGCTTCTCTCGCTTAATTCTTTAAAATTCTTTGTTGGCCTACCCCCCTTGATGCAGTACTGCAGGTATTACAATATTTCCATCTAGCTAATCACTATTTTTTATTAAAAACAAATTTTTATTCCTCTTTGCTATTGACCATCTTTGTTTTAACTCGTAACTAAACTGCGATAAACTATGTTTTACTTCTTTTATTTGTTCGTCTGACTAATTATCTTTTGCTAATACGTAATTTTTCAAAAAATAATAATTTCTCATTCATATTTGATAAAATTTGGCTCTGCATTAGATCAAAAAACATTCTTCGGGTCGTTTTCGTGACATTAGATGAACCTAAGATAAGCTCCGTTTAAAATTAAAATATACCTGAACATGAAGTTTAGTGTTTTTTTTTTTAAATAAATTATTTTATAGTTTCGATAAAATATATAATACTAATTGTAAACCTTTATTTAAAAAAAATTAATAATTTACTTTTTTTAAAGTACACAGAGAAAAAAATAAAAAATAAATAAATAATTTATACAGAAACAACAACCCCCCTGGTCTTTTCCTATCATACACTTAAGAACAGGAAGAGTGAATAAACAAATACAGAGAACAAAATGGCAAAAAATGGCAGGTGATTTTTACATATCATTGAAGTCAAAACCTTAGCCTATCTGTTAATAAAAAAACAGCAACCTGGAAATGCTTAAAAATATTACTAATTACTTATAGTTTGCAGTGAAAATTGCAAAAAGCAAGAAAAAGAAAAGAGTTTTTACAAAACCAAGAGACTTATATATAATCACAAAGAAACTAATTAAAACTTTTAAAATGTGTTTGCATTTAGCAACTTCATTATAATTCATTACAAAACACTTTGAAATATATTTTGATTAAACCTTATTTGATGCTGATAAATGCTTAAAAAATAAGCGACCAAAAGAAATGGCGTAGACAATAATTAATGATCAACTTTGTATATATCCTACCGCTTGTTGTTAAAACCATTTGCGGTCACTTTATGTTTGTGATATTCACCAACCATTTAGCATTGCTAAATTAACCTTTTTAATTTATTTTAGAAGTTCTAAAAAATTGAGTTTTGGTCGCCGACTAAATCAATCAAATACCCTACTTTGCGAAGTTAAATGAGTTGGTTTATCATAATAGGATTGATTTTAAATTTTTCAAGTTTTTTTTTCCATTCTGCATTTTCAAAATTTTGTTTAGGTTTTTTTAGTCGCCTCTTCCATAGTTTGTTTTAGTATTATCACCCTGGTTGGTGAAATTGATGATTAAAACAGTTAAATCCGTTGACAGTCTTGTCCAAATAAAGTATATATTTGTGTGGTTAAAAATTGCTTGTTATTGCATGCCTTTTCTTTTTATGACTATTTCAGGCCCAATTATTTAAAGCTGTATGTAATACTATCAAAAGCTTTTGATTTAAAAAGTTACTAGTTTTATGAACATGATATATAGCAATTTTTCATAAAAATTAATTTTAAGGGAAACCTTTTTTTCAAATAAAACAATAAAAGTTTTCTTATATTTTAATATCTTTTTAATTATAAATTAATACATATTTTTTATTGAAAAAAAAACTTGAATAGACGTTTAAAATATTAGAAAATGCAATGAAATCTAGTTTTTCTAATTTTTTAATGATTTTATTAAGCTATTTCCACTTTAAGTTTTGTTTTTGACTCATTAAAAAGGTCGCCATATTATTTTAACTGTTTCAACCGTGAATGGGAACTTCTAAAAAACTAATATTTTTAATAGCTATTAGATAAGCTTCAATTTGATAAGATCAATTAATGTCTTTTTAATAATAAGGTAAATAGCTATAGGACAAATTATTTCATATCTTTTGCTTTTCTTTTAATTTGCTGAAGTAAAGAAAATCTAGCATTAAATTTTTGGTATAATATTTCAGACTTTTTAAAAAAGGTTTATTCCTGAATATAACTTTATATTTTCCTTTATTTTAGTCATAATATGCGAACATGCATCCATGTTATTAAAATGCCCACTTAATACATCGATTAAGATTAATAATGCTTTTTTTGGTCGTAGAAATAATAATAATAATTGTCCAGTTCTTTATCCTGAAAACAGTTACAACTGTAATAAAGACGTCACTTTATTGGTTCAAAATTTATGTGACAAAAGAAATAGTTGCATTATTGTATCAAGTATTGGAATATTTGGTGATCCTTGTTATGGCATTGGTAAATACGCTGAAGTTGAATGGACTTGTTATGAAAATGGTAAGTTGTTTATATACTTTTTTTCAGGAATATTGTTTTAGAAATTCTGGCATTATATAAACTAAGAATTGTTGGAAACTACAAAAAAGTGAAAAAATAAAAATAAAATGGTTGGTAGAATAGAAGTTGGATAAAAATTTATATAAACGCAAGTTTTTTGAGCACAAAGAAACAGTTACAGTTGAAGGGTGCTCATTTTCTAAATAGCAATATTTGCAACAGTGTTTTTAAATGCAACAAATGATAATAGTTTGCTTGAGTAGCAAGTATGTTAGTATTTGTTAATAAGAAATGCAATCTTCTAAAAATGAAACTAAAGCTCATGCTTGACAAATCTACTGTATACATTTTAGTCACAATAAATTTTATATTATTGGCTAAATGTTGTAAACTATCAATTATATAACCTAATATACAAATCCATTGCTTTATTCTCAAATATGATTATATGCAATTTATATAACTTAATAATAATAAAATAGTAAAATATAATGCTATATTCAATGTAAATACAAATTTCTGAAGCAGTTTATATGTTATTAACATATAAACTGCTTCAGAAATTGCATAGTTTTAAAAAGTTTAAGAGAGGAAACTTGTTTTGAATTAATACACAAAAGTTAAATGTTAATAAACATTTATTTTAAGCACATCCATCGTTTTCTTATACTTCTTTAAAGTAAGTAACTCTGCAAAAATGTTTTTATATAGGCTTTACTTTTTTTTTAAAGTTTCGATGGTTAGGTACTTTTTTTTTTATAGCTAATAAAGCAATAAATTACCTGAAAATGTACAGTTTGAGGCTTTGTATTCTGACGTTTGAACTTGTACATCATACTAACATACTGGTGTTTTGAGAATTGTTATATTTTACTTTAGTTGTTTATTAAAAAGAGTTTCTAAATACATTACAAAATGTCTTTTTTTACAATTAATTTATTATTTTAAATTAGTTAAGATTGTTTAGTTCAATACTCATATCTGAATTTAATTTCTTGATATCATTTATTAACATAAATGACTTATTTCAGTTTTCAGGATGCATTACAAATCATTTATAATACTAAAACTAGGAGTGGATCAAGAATTGATAATTGGGGGACTCCACATAATACATTTAAATATACAGATTGGAAATTATGCATATTTGCTTTCTATAGGTAAAATAGCTTTCAATCAAATATAAGTTTTTATTCACTATCGCGAAGTGCTTTTGTTTATTTTTGAGGATGATGAGGTTCACATTATTAAATGCTTTTGATAAGTCAATAAAATTACCTAATTTAAATAAGTTTTCTTTAAAATCAACAATTATTTAAGTGACTTCAATGACAGCATTCTTAGTTTAAATTTTTTTTTCAAATCAAAAATGATTTTTGTAAAATAGTTGTTTTTTATGAAATGACAATAGATTCTATTTAAAATTACAAGTTTCAAAAATTTAAATAAAAACAGCTGATAATAATTGAATAATTTCTTTTTTTTTTTTGAAATTTTTGTTTTATGTGCTCCTAGAAGACCGAACTTTAGTCACAGAGCACTGCGGAAGAACATTTAACTAGAAACTTTCACCATTTTTTCTAACTGATGGCCCAAATTATGGTCAAATCACGCTTAGAACCCTGGATTTCTTGCTCCTAAAGCAAGCGCTCTAATTACTTTGCCATGACCACTTGTTACATTTGAAATAATTACTTTTTGAAATTAATTTTCATAAAAAAATCCTAGAGGGTAACTCCCTCTACAGTTATTAAGGGCTTCAGTATATGAATCAAAGGTCTGATTAGACTAATTTTATTTGCGAGGCCTTGGAGAGAGAGAGGGGTATAAAAAACAACTGATCCGGACACCAAGCTTGAACAACGCCAGACAAACCTAACTTTAACTTTAACTTATATACTTAAAAACTGTCTGAGTCCTTGTAGAGAAAAGACGATTTATTTGCCTAGCAAATCCGACACTATGATTCTATCTTTTTCTTCCATAGCCAAATACGACTTGAAAAGTATTTGCATTGACTTTAAAGTAGACAAAAAAACAATTAATTAAACCCAATAGGTAAATAAAAAAATTTTTTCAAAACTTCGGCACAAAAGGTAAAACTTCAATTTAATGCTTTTTTGAATCTTGTTAAAATGAGATTTTTACGTTACCGTTTAGGATAAGTGTAGATCATGATTAAATAAGTGTTTGTTTAGTTAAGTTAATTGATAATAATTTTTTTTTTATTTTATAGTTGATATGTTTTGTTGCTATATGTTGTTTAAAGTTCATATATTTAGTTGATATAAGTTATATTTTTCTCATAGTTATAGATATAAATTAAACATGTTGGTTAGTACTGTAAGAATGGTTATTAAACATTTTTTTTTATTTAGGCACTTGCCTCAAATACACAAGATCAGTGGTTCAAATACCCGGACAAATTTTTTAAAATGTGTTAGGAATGAGGTACTCTGTGACAAGAACATTACATGAGCTTCTAAAAACACCTAATAAAAAATTTCAAAAATATTTTTTTTTTTTTTTAAATTGGTATTTTTGCGGATACCAAGTTGGAAAAAAACATTTAGTGAACAATATATACACTAACATAATATATGTATACAGTTTTGTATTAATTAACAACACAAAATTACATAAATAAAAAATTACAAATGATTGTAATTGCAAGTAAAAATTTGATTGGCATATAAATGGCAAATGCTTTTAAAAAATAATTTTTTACAAATAAATTGTTTTGTTCCAAAACAATCCTAAAAAACACAATACAAAAATGTTATGCAATTAAAAAAATCTTTTAAACATATAAAATACTCAAAAGAGACTACGCTGTCAAAATAAATTTTGGCAAAAAAAAAAATAAAAAACCTACTAATTTTGTATTAAGCTAGTCTATTCTAAAAACTGTGTCTGCCTAAATTGACATTTCCGAAATTGTATACTTACAAAAAAAACTAATTATCACAAATTTGTTATTCAGATTATAACATATCAAAAGGATGCAATTACTTAATAAGTAATTACAAAAGAAATGTTATTTTTGCTTACAAATATAACACGTAGTTCTAAAGTGTCTTTAATAATGTTTGTATATTCTACTAAAACAAGTATATTTGTAGATCTTTTAACTGTTTTTTCAATTATCTTCATTCAAGTTTACCTTTCGCCCAAGCACATGATGACAAAATAGATGTTAAGGCTTCTACACAAGGTTCATTACATAAAAAGATAAGTGGTCGGTTGGTAATGCAGTTTCTATATCTTTTTACAAGGTAAATATTTGCTTGAAGTTTAAACGAACTTTACCAACAAATTTTTTAAGACATCGTTTAACCATATTCAACATTCTCTCAAACAACCCATCCCGCCACGAGGTAGACGGTACATTTACGAATTAAATCGAAGAAGCGGAAACACAAACAAGTTAAAGGAAGAAGCGGAAAACAATTTAAAATTTTATTTCAAACCAACCTTCTAGTTTCTTTTAAGCATTTATGTTTCACCGACTTTTGAAAAAAAATAATCAATAACTTTGACAAACGACACTGTGTGGAACAAAAATAGAATTTTTTGCATCTCTTGGAATTAGTTCATCGTCTATTCTTCCGTGACATCGAACAATTACATCAATAACTAGGAGCCCGAAATCTCTATTCGTTTGTTTAAAATTTTTATTTGTTATGAAGAGAGACAATTTTACGAGGGATGTGTGTGTGTGTGTGGGGGGGGGGGGGTAGGTTAGACCCCATCCTTTCCCAAAGATAGTGATTTTCAAGTTATAGTCGGTTTTTTTACAAATATAGTCTGCAGTTGGCTGTTTGGCACAATTTAGTCGATTAAATTTTCGTTTTGAAGACCTTATTCTTTCTTTTTTTTAAAAAAAGGCTAGTGGGTACTTTTTGAGGATCCCCCCCCACCCTTCCTCATTTTATTCGTAGAATTGCCTCTGGTTATGATGTTTTCATTTTGCACACAAAGTCTTTTTCAATTTTGTAAATAAAGTAGGTTTTACGATGCCAAATGTCTATTGAATACAAATCTTAACCCTACTATTACGTTGGGATCCACTTGGACCCCACGAGTAGTTTATTTTTGCATTATATATTTATGTAGTAAGTACATAAAGCACATATTGTATTATCTTAACAATTTTAAAGTAGAAAAAGTAATAACTTTATTGGATTTATCCTATAATAAGCACTCTTAGTATTTTGATACAACAAATGGAGTAGCACTATTGATTATTTATTTGGTTGATAGTGACACATAAAAGGCCTGATGCTTCATTTGACATAGTTACTAGCTTAAGTAACTTATCTCCAATCATCAATGTTATAACTAGAATAATATTATTGTGGCAGCTTGATTAAAAACTGTTTTATGTTTTTAAAAATTCAGCACATTCCTAATTACTAATTTTAACTAATTTGTGCAGTTTCAAGGCTCTATATTTTATATTTCATGAAATTACATAATCCATATTAAAAGAAAACTTGAGTTTCAACCTTTTTGTGTATATAAAATATCCGGATTAGCTAACTTCTTATGTATTTAAAACATGAAAAGTAATAATATTTATTTATATATATAATAACATTATATATATAAATAAATATTATTACTTTTCATGTTTTAAATACATAAAAAGTGAGTTTTTGTTTACAAAATTTTTGCAAATAGGTATTTTAGAATTCATAATTAATAAAACAAGTTTGTAACACGAATCTAGTCTAGCTGAGACCCAATTATTACATAACCATTTAGGATAAAATACATACAATGTTTTTGCTACATATAATTGAATACATTATTTACCCGGTGGACGATAAGTTAGCAACTAGAAAGTCGCTACTTATGGGATAAAGACGCTTTAAATACGTATAAAAAAAGTCGTAGTTATATGCAATTAAGACGTTTTAAAAACGTCTTTTATCAACTAGCTTTTTTTTTTCAATGGTTAAAATGCAAAAGTCATTAATAGAAACCTGGTGGACATC